CACTGCATAAAGCTTTGATCTTTTTCCTAAGGCCAATAAAATGCAAGCACTGCTTTGTTTTGCTTCCACAAGTCAGAAGGGTCTTTGGCAGTCAAGTGTCCATTTATGGCTAGTTCAACAGCTCTATACTAAATTAGTAGTAATTTCCTAATTCAGTACCTTTTCTGCTTCCAGTATAGAGGCGTAAGGTGGGGAAGAGATGGATGGGAGATGCTCTAAAATAATTTCTGACATCCAAATAACAATTACCACGTTTTCCCTAGTTGAGTCTGAAATCCAATTCATTTTATTGTTTCAGTTATCACATACCTGCGTTGTTGAACAGCCAATATTCTCAGAATGATTATTAACAACACTTGGAGATGGAAGCAGATCAGAGGACTCTTGATTTTTTTTCTGGCTTTCACTGAATGGATTGGATCTTTTCAAATTCTGTCTTGACACAGGTATAAGAGGTTTTAGGCGCTTCTTATTATGGACCTGAGTAGGTTCATCAGACTCCAAACTATTCTTTGAACAAATTAAAGACAAAAATCCCAAGGGTCTTCTGCCAGGTCTAGAAATGCAAATGTAAAGACATTCAAGAATATCCAGGAAGAAACATTCTTAATACCAACTTCTTTCCATTAATGCTAAAATGGCACACTCACTAAGTATTGATATCACTATGCTACGACAATTATTTGTGACAAAGGACAAGGCTTACTCTAAAGTGGTGTATCCCAAACTTAAAAGTGCATACAATCACCTGAGGATCTTATTTAAATGAAGATTGATTCAATTTCGGTAACAGGTGTAGCCTGAATCCTGTATTTCTATTAAGTCCTCAAATGATGTCCATGCTGCTAGTCCCAGGACTATACTTTGAGCAGCAAGGCTGAGGAGAGGGGATCTGCAAACTACAGTCCATAGGCCAAATGTAGTCCACCACCTGATTTTGTGAATATGTTTTACTGAACACAGCTATGCTCATCTGTTTGCATATGGTTTATGGTTGCATTTGTGCTATAACTGCAGAGTTCAATAGTTGCAACAGAGACAATGTGGCCTACAAAGCTTAAAATATGTACTATATGCCCTTTTACAAAAAATGTTGGCTTATCTCTATTCAAGAACACTGCTTCTCAACCTATTTTAATCCAAACCCCCATGATCCTATGACACTTGCCTCCTTCTATTTTTTTTCTTTCTTTTTTTTAAAGACAGGGTCTCACTGTATTGCCCAGGCTGGAGTGCAGTGGCTATTCGCAGGCACAATCATTGCACACTACGGCCTTGAACTCTTGGGCTCAAGTGATCCTCCTGCCTCAGCTTCCTGAGTAGTGGGTACGAAAGGTACACACACCACTGTGCCTGGCTCTCATTCTATTTTCAGCACATCTCTAAGGCCAGAAAAGGTATTGCTGAACTTTACTTTCTGTAATTTAGATAATAAAAACAACAAACATATTAAATATGCTTTTTTAAGCTACACATGTCCTTTCCTTCCCTTTCCCTTAGTGGAGGCTAGTACATGTCCTGCCCCCACCAAACTCACTAATACCATGTTAATGTTTTGAATTTTGCTGACAAGCCAATAATTATTGATAACTTGGGAGACTTACTTCTAGAGTACGAGGAAAACAATGTGGGAAAAGTTGGCTTTGGCCTTAAATCCCAACACTTACTCTTATAGGGAGAAAGTCTTGTTTACTTCTATGATACCCCACAAGGGGGAAGAATGACACATTATTTGTGACTTCAATAAAACAGCTTCCAGAACTACCTCTGATGTCAGTCCTCTGTCTCATACCATTTATATGTGCATCAGTAGCTACTGTATACAGGAGAATATGTAATGATCAAGATAACCATGAATGATCTAGAAAAGTAAATGTGTGATATATTCTATCCCACATTTGACATACATCAAACTTTGACTATCTAAAATAGTCAAAGTTTCGGCACTAAAGTTACGCTTTCATTGTATAAAATACATGTTTATCTCAAACATTACTATATTTCCTTTGCTGAAACTTTCCTTTACATTACTGATGGAGGAATATGTTTATTAAACACCATCCTTAGCATTGGATTTCATCTTTATATATCTGTTAAATATAGGTCACATTTATCCAGAGACGGAGAGAAAGAAAGAGATGTCTTAAAGATTTTTTCATGATACCTGGATAGTGGGGTTTTTGAAGATGATGTTCTGTTTTCCATTTGCTCAGACTTAGAAGCAGCATCAGTTCTTTCCTCCTTATCAGACACAATCATCTCATCCCGAGGTAAATGAGGCATATTCTTTTCTGTATGTGTATCTATTATTTTATCAAGAGATCTTGATCCTATATTCTGAAAAGTTGGTTCAACTTGTTCTTTTTGAGGTTCTGGAGTTGTATGTGTGCTTCCTGAGGTAGAAAAAAGACTTTGTCCCTTGTAAGACTCCCCTTCAAAAAAGAAAGCAAATTGTAAGCACACATATTAAAATTAACATATTCAGTTTAATCACCATATTTGAAGGAAAAAAAAAAGCCATGGTATTCTATAATAAACCCACCCTAGTAAGAGTAAGCTAAATTATACTTATTGGTTTACTGAAATTATTAAGAATATTATAACTAGTTAAAAGCTACAGTAACAGCTTCTGCACTCAGATACAAAATAGTCATATCAATATATTTTGACCTAGAAAATCTTTTTCCAGAAATAATTCCTGAATTTATAAATGAAAGGGTTATCACTTCCTAAAAATCTAAGGCTTGTTAAAATGCAGAAGCTAAACCAATCAAAAATATAGGTGGTTAATTCTTGGATATTACTCAAGTTTAGCTAAAGAGTTCTCTTTCCTTAATAGTAGATGAAAGCCAAACAGAAATGAATTGGGACAAAATCATAAATTTCTTGTTAAATAAAAAATCCATTTTCCCTTAGGACACCTGTTTCTAAGGCCATGTTCCCAGTGACAACATTATAGTTACATGGAGTAGAATGAAGTTGGTAAGTATACCTGCTAAACGAAATAATCCTATTAAAGTTGGTCTACAACATATTCACTAATATTTCAATAATGCTGTGATTTGTTTAATACTTTCACTGGAGAGAACGAGACAGATAGGATAAATCGTTGGCTGACTTAGTTATGAGGGAAATTGACCCTAAATGGTTTCATACCCTAAAAGATTTTAAATTCTTATAAAAACAGAAGACTCTAAGATCTTTTGAATCTCTTAAGTGACTTAAACTTGAAAAGATCTCTAGCACTAAACTAATTTTCAGGGTAAAGTTATGAACTTATTTTTAAAAATGCCTTTATATTTAACTTTCTTATTCCTAAAATG